TTACATTGCAATATTTCTGCAATGTTACATTGCAATATTTCTGTAAGCGGACATTTTACTGTTGCTGCAATGCTGCAACAACGTTGCTGCAACATTTTGCAATGTTTCTGAAATGTTGCAATCTTGCACAACAATATTGCTGCAATCTTGCTGCAATCTTGCTGTCCTGTATAGGGAAAATGCTGAACAAAGTTAGTATAACATTATTCTCTTTATCAAATAATTATAAATATCACTTATAATTATTTGTTATATATATTTTAAAGTCATAACATTAAAGTCATTATTTGCCTTTAAATTTGACATGATAGTTTTTATACTTTAAATAATTGTTATACATACATTAAATAATTGTTATAAGTTGGTCTTTAACAAAATGATATAAGATACGCTTGTAATGTATAAAACAAAAATGAAACAATTTAAGCTCTAATAGCGAGCAACAAATAAGATATATTATAAATAAAGAGAAGTTGGTCTTTGTTACATATATGTCTTCTATAATGGCAATTTTTTTTACATAAGATAAATTCAAATACAATATTAATATAATAAATTATATATTATATTCTCTTGTTATATATATAATTATCAAACAAAAATAACAATTAACTGTTTTAGACAGATTATGCATATATAACTAAATTTATGTTAAAATTATATTGAAATAGTAATAATGACGTGTTTTTTTACTTTCAGATCTACAATGTAATGAAAACTTGCTCTATAAAAAATGCAGTGGTAAGAAAGAAGACATCTCATTAGCTCATAACATAATACCAGATGTTGAACAAAGTTAGTATAAAGTAGTATCTCTGCATTACTTATAATTATATACAAAATGTCCCAGAATTGGTGTAACATCTCTCGCAGACAGATAGAAGGAGTAAAACTGAATCGAAAAGTCTTATACCATTTTGCTAGATTTGCAATAGTTATCAAAGTCTTAATTAACAAAGATCCGCAAATGAGCGTGCAGCCACGTGCAAAATGACAGCTCCAAGCTGGTATAGAACTTTTCGACTCAGTTTTACTCCTTCTACCTGTCTGCGAGAGATGTTACACCAATTCTGGGACACTCTGTATAGTACATATTTATTAGTATATATTAGTATATATTTAGTATATATTTTAAAGCCATAACGTTATTTATATCTAAACCTGATATTTTTAACATTTTTCTTAATGTATTTCTAAATTCACCAAATTTTTTAAAATTTATATAATTTTCTTTTGATAAAAATAAAATAATATGAATAAAATATTTTTAATGTGTTACAGAAATTGATAATTTCCAACGTTTTACTATAAGAAAACTAATAAATTTAGAAATGAAATTAAATCAAATTGTAAATAATATGAAAATAATGAATAATATGAACACATCTCTTAAGGCTACCCTGATAGCCACCTGTTTACGTTTTTGCTGTCATGTTGCCGAAAACAAAACGCTTGAGTTTTCAGCAAATTTAAAACAAGGTGAGTTAGGCATTTGTTTTTGGTTTGACATGACACGTATTCAACATGTGGACCGTTTATTTTGAAAGTGGTGTAAGTCCATTTTTCTTTTGTTTCGAGAAACTTATAGGTTAACATATCTGTCAATTATGAATTATGAATTACGTGATATCTCATTTTTTTCAAAAATAGACTTACACCACTTTCAAAATAAACGGTCCATGTGTTGCCGACAACTTGCTGTGTATTTGCTGTCAACGGTTTATCACTAACATAAAGAGCAACATGACAACAAGTTACCAACAACACGTGTCATAAATTTCAGCAAAATACAATATGTCGAAAACGGACAAATATATATTCACTGACACATCGCTTTGTGAAAGGGAAATTAATTAATTCGAGATTTCACTCAAATTAATCTTTGGAGATGTGATTTAGTTCGCCGATCAACTGATTAACTTGATGAAAGGTACCGGGA